CAAACTGCTCCCCAGAACATGCCTTTGCCACCTGACTAGCTCAGGCTCTAATTGGACAACTTAACCACTTACTGCCGGGAACTCCAGGATCGGAGACGTATGGTTTATATGGGTGGCCGGGGTCTCCGAACTCGGACAAAGGAAACAAAAGACCAGGCTGCTGGGCATTACCGACATTTTTCACTCTCAAAAGTGGTGATAATTCAGCCGTGTTTTGAAACCGTATACCAGGGTTTGGGGCATTGAGAGCGAGCAGATTACCACCAGGGACAAAAGCGCTCCACCACCACAGCGATGAGCCACACAGCACCAGTGCACGCTAATCTGGCCCCTGTTGAAAAGAGGTCAGCAGTGCACTAAGCCAGGTTCTTGAACAAAAGAGTTATACAACATCGCACAATCTGGGCTCTGTTTACAAGGCTGCTGTCAACTTAGAGTAGTGCCTAAAGATTACTTGGTGCGGCTATAAACGACCGTTAAATGAAATGATGACTTTTGAAGGATTTTGAAAATGGAAAAAATGATAGTCATGCCGGCCCAGCATCATCAACATTGAAAAATGCCCTGGCATGAAGTGGTTAAAAGTGCCACACATGACTCCAATACTGATGGGTCATCTGGTATCTAGGCAGATGAGCACTCAGCAGAAGTTTATGGCTTTCACAGCTTGGAGTAAGGTGCAAACAACAAGAAGGGATTAAGTGTCTCAACATCCTGCTGATCTCCTATAAAGTTTACTGGGAGTGTACACACTGGTGTACTAGTCAGAGATTAAAGGCAGTGGATACAAAGAGCATCCTGTGATCTTCTAGGAGAGCAGGAACATTATAGACAAACTGAACAAAGAGCAGGATATTTGACAAAAGGAACAGGAAATACATCAAAGGTTTACTACTGGAACACTGCTTACCAGTAGGAAAGTCAAAGCTCAGGAAAGAACAATTTAATTATGCAAAAGGAAAACATAGTCATAAAGAAATAAAATTTTAACTTGTAACCCAAGACCTCTTTTGGGACGGGGTTAATACAGGTGTATAGGGGCAGACGCGGACATGAACCGATAATGCAGCGGGTGACGATCACCTCGACCGGCTTGAGTTGGCCGGCCGTCAGTATATTTTTAGTCGAAGAATCAATCATTCTCACCTTCTTCAAATTAAACCTTACATTGCACTGGTTAGAAATCTCTAAATCCCCCCATCCCCAAGCTTAGAACATCCTTTTCATTATCGTCTCAGCTAATAGCAAGAATGAAAAAGACGTCACATGCAAATTGAGGCCGTACCTGTACGCAAATGGCCCAAAATATATTTTCCCATGGCGTTGCCAACGATCGAGCGCAAGTCCGACTGCGATCAGCATCCAATCTTGCAATCAATTTTGCAAGTCCATTTCTGATTTTATTGGTCAAGCATGGAATGCACGGGCAAGCATCTTGGAGATTTGCATGCATAATGTTTTTCTGAATATACATAAGTACAAATGTAGTGAGTATTAAAAGGGGGCTGAAATTCCATACCCACATGTACATTGTAACTTTACATGAAAAATTCACTGATTTTGACATTTAAAGCAATGAATTGATTGAATAAAAACAATACCTGTGTCTGGAGTAGTTGATTTTGAATTCTCACCATCGTGATGCGGGGCCATCTAAGTTTAATGTACATGTATGTCTTGTCAGTTATGTCAGTTTAGTTTGGAAGTACCTTGTCAGATGATTTTAGGTTCGGTTCTGCTGCTCGGTGGTTTGGCTGATGTAAGAGCTTGTAGCAAAAATATTCACAATATGCGGAAGATCGGGCACATTTAAACATAAGCTTGCATGTTGCATTCCATCCGCGGATCTGCCGGTTCGTGCAGGGCTCGATTGTTCGGCAGGGATTTGCGATGCGTTAAATAAAATGTCTCTATCCCGAAACACATGGGAATGCATGATGCCTGAAAACTAATACCTTCAGGTATAGGATAGGCCTACGAAGTGCTAAGTACAGGTGCAAAGAAGTCACTTGTATCAAGCAGTGGTGATTAAAAGCTATTTGGTCAATTTCGCGATGGTGCCTAAAGCTAAACCATGGTGGAATTAAAACAATGAACACAGTTGTTATGCCAGTGCCTGTCCATGTACATGCGTGTGTGGTCAGGAATCAGAACGAAACTTACAAGTAGAGACATGAATTTATATAACAGGTTTTGCCCTTACCCATTGTATAATAAGCACTGTATACTCAGTGCTTGTCCGAGAGCTTGCAAAAAAACCTCAGAAGCTTACTCGAGTGGGAATCAAACCTGCAACCTCCTACTTACTAGTGCAGATGTCTTATATTAAGTAACATCTCCCCAACGCAAAAATACATCTTAAGAATAGAGACAGGAGGTCAGTCTATTTCTGCGTGTGAAAACCACAGGGTTGACTCAGTTGGAGATTCCACTCACACTGTGTTAGGAGGTTTGTTAAACAGTATTGTGCAACAGAAATGGCACTATCAGTTGTTTCATGAAACTAACAGCTAGAATCACGTTTAATGCTAACCCCAATTTGCAGGCATTTCCATTGATTCTCTCATGGAATACCTCATACTTCTATGGCAAATTTCCGCTTTTTGTGCCGTTCAAACGAGTTTAACTTTTTAGATTTAGGTTGTTCACCACCAGTGTAATGAACACATAGACCAATTTTACTAGAACAAGATTTCATTTCTGGAAGGATTCTCACGTTCATCCGATGGTCTAACACTCACACTCCCTAAATATTCGTTACATTAGCAGAGATGCCAACTTTTCAAACTGAAAAAGTATAATCCTATCGCACTTCCAGAACTGATTTCCCAACTGACCATTATTTTTCAACGCGACTCTAAAAATTTTCAGCGGCAAATTAGAAAAAAAAATAAATTGTTTTAAGTTCTGAAAAATGCTGTTGTCTTTTCTTTAAAAGCAAACACCTGTCAACAACTTCTTTTCATGTAAAAACACTTGTATTTACAAGACTAACATTGTGCAATTGTGAAAAGTAATTTATTGTTTATTGTTATTTATTGTTTTTTACCGTAAAAGTCTGTATCGTACAGGTCTAAAGGGACTAAACAAATCGTACAAAATTATGCCTAAATCGTACAAAATTGTCATCTCTGCATTAGCCCTAACCATCCTCAATCCTCCAATTAAAATACGAGTATACGTACATGTACAACCTGGGGGTTACGGTTTATAATCTATCTCTATTTGGTGCTTTTATCACAAAATGAGCAATACTGCCCTTTTACATTGAATATGTGCTTTTACTGGATTAGATTTATTTGTTCTAGTGAACCTACCCGAGCATCAGTAACCTTAAATTCCCGAAGGATGTACTGTGGCATGTTGTACTCAGACATGGGATCCACCACAAAGTACTGATATCTGGCAGAGCGTTCAGCAGGCCAGTACTGATGGCACTTCTCCTGAAAAAATTCCAAAGCAAAAAGTATACATTGCACAGGAACCACTACAAGACTGTCTTAGTCACACTGAACAAGTTTTAAAAACACTACAATACTTTTGATACCTAACGTAAATTAAGTTGAATTTGTAAGCATGTGTATCTGTTCTATTGTTCGAACAATACATGTATACCCTTAATTTTGGCATCCACAAAAAAGTGACCACTGAGCTACAAAATCCAAACTATCCCTGGGTAATGATTCTGTATTCTGCAATTATACCAAGATATTGAAATTGAAACCAGAAATCTTTACTCAGGGTAACAGTAATACCTTATTTCCCTGCTGTTGGGTTTTGAAACCTGAATTTCCTTTTGTTAATTACATTTTGTTTGATCAGATTACTTCGTAAAGCTTCACTTGAGGCCAGTTCCTTACAATTATACTTACGCAGGTTGCTTGTCCTTCGCTGTAGAGTTATTCAGTTTGTTTAGAGTTTAATGCAAAGCTACCAGTTTAATCATTTTACTATTATTTTTTATTCAAAAAGTTTTTCGTTAACCCAGCCTACTTTTCCATAAGTCTCCCTTCAACAACTCATCATAGCTCCTTTTTTATCTAGGGCTGGTAGGAGATGGTGGGTTATTGTATTAATTTGTATTTCATTGATTACAGTTGGTTCCAGTTTTCAGGTACAGTTCAATAGCATAAGAAGAGCAATTTGATTAGACTTGGTGCTAAAAAATGTGTTTTAGTTTTATTTATTTAGAGTGTACCCATTATTAATGCAATTGCAAGTTAATACAATACAAATTACACCTGACACAAAGCCTTAGCAGGATTTTGCTTAAGTGATTCACTTGGTATCATTTTAAAACCAAAATAGAAGCAAGGCTCTTGGTCTCAGTAATCCTTGGCATATGTGAACACTGATCAGTTGGTGCTAGAAAGGAAACGAAGTCTAACAATAATCCATTACTTGTTTTTGCAGGCAAAGTTGCTGGCTTTGTTGGGCAGTACATGTGTCATGCTACTGACAGCAACATTACAAGAGCCACTGATGAACAGCAATCTCTGGTGTCCCAGACTTTAGCACTGTGCAAAATTCAACAGATATTCATTTGGCTAGCATTTTCCCAGCTATGGTCTGTAAACAATTTTGTTGTTATACCCCACCCGTCATTACAGTTGGTCTAGCAATGCCTGTGTAAGACCTACCCGTCCCATTTCTCTCAGCTTTGTCAGCATGACAATGATAGTCGAGTTCTGCTCCCACAGCATACGCCAGAAATCTTCAGTGGTCTCTGCAAGGGGACCTTGAGTAGCAATATATGAACTCTTCTGCTTGTAACCCTATAAAAATACAATATGATGAAAACCAATTGACTACAAAATGATATAAATAAAACTGACAGAGACTGTATATGAGTAAGTGCAACCTCTATGGTTTGTCGTTATTAAATCAAACATTACACGAAACATGAGAATCTCTGCCCCGTCATTCCTTCTCACAAGGTAATCATTGCTTGTACAGTGTATACCTCCTATCCTATAGGGCTCATGAACTCTGGTGAAAAAACAAATAGTAACTAATTGTGCCACTTGAGCTTTTTGACTTACAAATGTAAAAATACATACTGTTTATATGTCGCTTTTACAAGGATTTCTCCCACAGCATTTTAATATGTAAACAAAAGTTCTGATAAACCAAAAGAAATTTCTTTGGCATCCCTTTGAATGGTCAACCAGAATACGTGGGCAGTTGCAAATTCTTATGGAACTTCATTTGTTGTGTTTCACACAGCACTGTGCTCAACAATAAATGTAAAGGGGCATACCAAGGTTTGATATGTGCATGAAGATGGAGCATATACAGAGCTTTCTTGTGAGAGGTTGGGTTGGGATTGCTTTGTTTAACCACCCTGTACTTTACATACTACATGTCCACAGCTATTCACCCCATGCATAGTTTCTATAACTCTGCAATGTGTCTTTCGATGTAGTAAATTATTCTACATGACACGTCTGTATTGCACTGTTGTTAAATGTACAATGTCTTCCTTATTCAATTGTTGAAAAGCTCCATCCTACTCTAACAATTCCGTTTCTGAAATTTTACCAGTGTGTACACTACCTTTAACAGGGTGGAGAATTCCGCTCATGACCTTAAAAATGCATTACCAGAGATGCCAACATTTAAGAGGAGGAATCCTGAGATCTCCCCCGAAACAAAAACTTTTATCGTACAGTATTTGGTATGAACGCATGCAGTATAGCAGACTCTAACATTGTAACAACAAAATTTACAAATCTGGACTATTGTAAGAAGTCCAAAATTGTTGCAGTATTGTAGTCAATTTTCTAGATCAACAGGATCAACAAAGCAAATTAAACTTCACCAGTTTCAATTTAGCAGACCACTCATTTGTACCACTCTTCTTTGCATTTTTTTATTAGCATGCATTAGCATGACAAATACTGTTACCCAGTGCCTGTGTACACTTACCTTTGTAAAGTAGCTATTCAATAATTGATAATTCTGCCGGGCATTGCAATCAGCAGCAACATAATAAATTGGGCTATTCTTCAAATGCCTTATAACTTGGATATTAAATGGCAACACCAACGGTGAAATGACGAAGCTAAAACTTAAGAAACTGATCAAATTTGGTATGGGCCGTAATTGATGATGTTCAGCATAAAAATGACGTAATGCGTCAACCTCATTCCCAAACATATTTCAGGAAAATGTGAACGTAATAAGAATGAATTGGACCCTTGATCAATCGCATCAGTGGGATGGGATGCATGCATTAAGGTTGGAAGATTTCATAAATGTGTCAGAAACATGACACGAACTACAATAAACAATTATTCTTGGCTGGAAATTGGCTATCATATCACTGCTAAGACAGGCAACATACAAAACCAACACAAATACTCCCGTAATTTCTTTTTCAATCACAGCCTATTTTAAAATCCAGAAGGATTTAAAAGGCGGCCGTAAAGCCATAAAGTTGACCTTCAATTATCAATAATGAAACTGCTATCATATCACTGCTAAGACAGGCAACATACAAAACCAACACAAATACTCCCGTAATTTCTTTTTTAATCACAGCCTATTTTAAAATCCAGAAGGATTTAAAAGGCGGCCGTAAAGCCATAAAGTTGACCTTCAATCCAGAAGCCTTATAGCAAAATCGGAAGGGTTGGTATCTCTGCATTGATCATAAAAACCCTTGTCTCCTACAATCTCATGATGCAGGTCAAATGAAACTGGGTATCTGCTTTATGGTCAAATTGCAAATGAAGTGAGATAGAATGGGCACCTGATAATAGAGACTCATTTGCTCATAACAGGACTGTTGCTTTTTGCTGTTTTTATCTTGAAGTGTATGGCAGCACACCCTGACTGTCATGCAGCTTTAAGTTTCAGAAACACTCCTTCAAAAGCTTCAGGTAAATATTGGAAAAATTGCCATGGTTGGGGTGAAATGTTACATACTATGTTGCAATAAACCTTTCAAACAAATGTATGGTGTCAGTTCATTTGACACTATCAACATTGGATTAGGACAACATGCTTGTTATAGTAACAAACAAATGGTCATCAGGTGAATTGAATTTTTGTGGTTAAACCACTTGCTGCTAGGTAGAATTTGAAGTTGCATGACGTAAACTGGGAAATTTTCAAGGTTTTCCATTTTCAAAATTCTTCAAAAAGTCATAACTTCATTTACTGGAGGTTTACACCCACACAAATGACTGTCTGGTGTTTACTCTAATCTAACAGACAACATCTATTGATGCCAGAGTATTTCATCCAGGTCTGCTGCCTTGTAAAAACAGCCAAGATTGTGCGATTTTACATACATGTGAGTTTCTTTTGTTCCCGAAACTGGCACAGTGCGCAGCTTGTGTCTTTTTAATAGGGGCCAGATTGGCATGCAGCAGTATTGTATC